TTCTCTGAATCTAGTCACTAGAGCAATGACACTATAAGGCCACCTTCCCAGGGGAATTCAGGTTTGGCGCAGATAAAAGAGGAGATGGGAGGAGTGTAAAATGAATGGAAACGAGGTCTCCAAGAATGTTCTTTCAGGACAGAAGATATACTTTATCTTCATTTTGTGACTGGTATAATATTGAGCAGAAACCCTAAGGAAGAACACATTTCTGGATCGCAATTAGGCACGGCCTGTCTTTCTGCTCTATACATTCAGTCCAACGTTGTCCTCCTCTGGCTTGCTTTCCCTTCAGGTTAAGTAGGATTTCTAATAATTTTGTCTTATCCTACACCTAACTCGTTTCAGAATATCAAAGCGGCACATCATCCGACTACTGTCGCTGCACATCATCTGAGCCAGCATCTCAGCATGATTTTAGTTTCTTCTCTCCAGCATTACCTTGTACATTTCTTTATACTCTTCAAGTCTTCTGCATGTTCTGCTCTGTCAAAGCACAGGTAATTGTGTATATGGCATGTAGATATGATCATTTTCAAAGAGAGACTTTCAGTATCGAAGTCCCTACTCACAACTGTGCGGCTAGTGAAAGTTAAAATAAGGATATGTGTGTGCACACACACACGCACACACAAATCATATGCCAAGAAAAAGGATTTGTCAAGTCAAAAATAAAAAAAAGTTAAAGAGGCCAAAAAGTAGTAAAGAAAGAAAAGAGAGCCATCTAGATAAGTTCTGAAGGACTGAACTATCTTTGAAGAACTAGCTCCTTGCTAGTTGTTCACCTTCTATAAGTTTCTATGACTGGCACCTTACTTAATTTGATACCTGCTCGCTTAGAAAGCCAAATGAAGACACTACGTTGATAGGATCACCAAGTAGATTCCATAAAACAGATTCACTAGCACTCCAGCCAAACTACCAGACTCGCTAGATAAAACATTTTTTCTTTTTAAGGATTGCAGTAGAACATATTTCAAGTATATCTTAGAATATAGAACAAAAAGTGTAGAAGGAAAACCATGTGAAAGGCTTGGGTAGATATGGAAGAAGTAAGACACGTGCATGCCTCATACATCATGAGTGCTTTGTAAAGTCAGAAAAGACACTCGGTCACAGAGTAACTTTATGGACAAACCTTAGCTACATTAACTAAAACAACAAGAACAACAACAACACTCATATGACTAAAATCAGAAATGCAAGAGGCAGCACTACAACCAATGCCACGAAAATAATTAAAGGAGAATACCATTTGTTGGCATATCCTTTGACAACAAATTGGATAACCTAAAAGAAATAAAAGAATTCCTAGAAACACACAACCTACCAAAACTGAATCATGAAGACAGAGAATCCCTGATGATTTTCAGAAGGGGGAAAAAAATGAAGACATAGAAAATCTTAACAGATCTGTAAGTAGTAAGGAGACTGAATCAGTAATAAAAGAAAAACTCCCCACAAAGAAAAGTCCATGACCAGATGGCTTCACTGGAGAACTCTACCAAACACGTAAAACACTATACGAAAAAGAAAATACAGATCAATATCCCTGATGAATACAGATTAAAAAATCTACATAAAATCTTAGCAAACAATTCCACAGCAAATTGAAAGGATCATATACATGAACAAGTGAAGTTTACTCCTGGAATGCAAAAATGGTTCAACATATGAAACCACATTTATAGAATAAGGAACCAAAAACAAAAAAAAACCTCAATTGATGCAGAAAGAAAACGCATTTGAAAAGCTCCAACACCCTTTCATGATTAAAAACAGTCAAATTAAGGATAGGAAAAAAAAAAAAAAACAAATTACCTCAACATATTAGAGGCCATATATGAGAAGTTCACAGCTAATAGCATTCTCAATGAAGACTAAAGCTTTTCTTCTAAGTTCAGAAACAAGACAAGGTTACACACTCTTGCCACTTCCAGACAGCATAATAATGGAAGTCTCAGCCAGGCAATTACACAAGAAAACACAACAAAAGGCATCCAAAGTGAAAAGGAAGAAATGAAATTATCTTTGTTCACAGACTACATGATCACATACATATAAATCACTACAATTCAACATATTAAAAAAACCCCAAAATTGTTAGAACCAATAAACCAATTAAGCAAAGTTGTAGAATACACATCAAACAAAAATCAGGTGCATTTTAATACACTAACAATGAACAAGTTGAACAGAAAATTATAAACAACCCCATTTATAATAGCATCAAAAGAATAAAATACCTAGAAATAAGAGAGGTGAAGGACCTGTAAACTGAAACTACAAAACAAAACACTACTGAAAGAAAGACACAAATAAATTGAAAGACATCTTACGCTCATGGATGGGAAGAGTTAATATTGTTAAGACATTCATAGCATGCAAAGCAATCCTACAGATTCAATACAATCCCTATCAAAATTCCAGTGGCATTTTGAGCAGAAATAGAGAAATACATCCTAAAATTCATAAAAAATCTCAAGGGATCCCAAATAGCCATAACAATCTTGAAAAAGAACAAAATCGGAGGTCTCACACGTCCTGATTTCCAAACATATTACAAAGCTACATTCATCAAAACAGTGCAGTACTGGCCTACATACTAATAGAATAGAATAGATAGCCCAGAAATAAACTCTCACATATTTGTCAGATGATCTTCAATGAGCCAGCCAAGACTACTCAATGGGGAAAGATAAGTCTCTTCAACAAACAGTGCTGGGAAAACTGGATATCCACATGCAAAAGAATGAAGCTAGACTCTAATTAACACCATACACAAAAATTAACTCAATATGGATTAAAGTCCTGAATGTAAGACCTAAAACTAAAACTCCTAGAAGAAAACATAAGTTAAAGTTTCATGAAATTGGAACTGGCAATCATTTATTGGCTATGACACCAAAAGCACAGGTAACAAGAGCAAAATTAGACAAATGAGATGACATTTGTCAGATTAATGTAATCAAAAACATATGCACACCAACAACTAAGTGGAAAGGGAGCCAGAATGGGAGAAAATGGTCATAAGTCATGTGTCTGGTAACAGCTTAACATCCAAAATACATAAGGAACTCCTACAACATAAAAACAAAAACATAAAAATTAAAAATAAGCAAAGGATGTGCACAGGCATTTCTTCAAAGATAATACGGAAATGGCCAACAAGCAAATGAAAAGATTCTTGCCATCCCCAATCATCAGATATGCAAATCAAAACCATAAAGAGATATCAACTCACACCCATTAGGATGACTACTATCAAAAAAACCCAGGAAATGATGAGTGTTGATGAGAATGTGGAGGAATTGGAACCCTTGTAGATTTTTGGTGGGAATATACAATGGTGTAACAACTATGGAAAACAATATGGTGATCACTCAAAAAATTAATAATTACCATCGTATTCAGCAATTCCACTTCTGGGTATATCCCGAGAGAATAGAAAGCAGGATCTCAAAGAGATATTTGTACACTCATGTTTATATAAGCATTATTCACAAGAAGAGCCAAGGCGTGGATGCAACCCAAATGTCCCTCAACAAATGAACTATGAATAAACAAAATGTGGTCTAACATACCATAGAATATTGTTCAGCCTTAAAAAGGAAGAAAATCCTATCACATGCTGTAACATGGATGAACCTTGAGGGCATTATGCTAAGTGAAATAAACCAATCAAAAAAGATAAATACTATATGATTCTACTTACTTGAGGTACTGAGAGTAGTCAAAATCTTAGAAACAGAAAGCAGAATGGTGGCTGCCAGGGGCTGAGGGCAGGGCGAAATGGGGACTTGTTCAATGAGCACGAAGTTTCACATTTGCAAGATGAAAAATTTCTGGAGGTCCATTGTATAGCAATGTGAATAGACTTAACACTACTGAACCGCACACTTTAAAATAGGTAAAATGGTAAATTTTAGTGTGTATGTCTGCTACCTACTACAATTAAATTTTTATATAGTAACTGTATGGATGTGTTTCACCAAGACTTGTCAGGGTCACTTCATGTGCAAATGGTGCAGAAAGACACTAGATGCAGAGAACTGAGTATCACGGTGCTCGTATCCATGCGTGAGATTCACAAACACTACCATTTGCAGTGGATGCAGACAGAGTGATTACAAAGGGTGTGTGTTTGCATGTGTGCGTGTGCTGCCTAGGAATAGTCAATCCACATGTTTGGACATGTGTATAAATATAAACAATAACATACATTTCAAAAGTAGGTATGCTTCGTATTAGTATCATTTTAAATCCAAGATTACTCACACAACTGCTGTTTTTTTCTCCCCTAGCACCGGGAATTCTAAAGACAGAGTATTCATCCTGCTATCCCAGAAGAATCTTTAAACAGTCTATTTTCAAGGTCTGTAATCTAGAACATTCTTGAACAAGGAGCAGCAGGCAAGCCCGTTCTGATTGAATGTCAGTTAACAAGCATGGAGGGAACAAAGTTGTCTTTCCTTTCCAAAGAAAACTGGATACAAGTAAAGAAAGGGCTGAACGGCATACAAACACACAGGCTAAAAATGAATTTGACTTTTTACTTTTCTTTTTTTTAAATTAAGCATCTTTGGGGAGATTTTGCTGCTTATCAATTTGTTAAAGTTTGAATAGTTGCTGAAATACTAATCCTATATCTGATTTTGAAAAGAAAAAGGCTAAACCATCTATTAAGGTAAACTTTGAAGACATTCTGTCATTAACATAATCTTTATATATAGTAATATAAACAATACTCAAATGTTTTTGGAAACCAGAAATCACTGAAACTAACGCATATTATTTTAAGAAGCTTTTAAAGAGAAAATTGAATCACAGCATCTCACAGCATCAGCCAAACTCTTTCAGGAGCACCAGGAGGGACTTAGTTTCGAGACTAAAGAAAAGAGGACAAACTAAGCATGCCCTACGCTAGACTTTAAAGGTGATTTACAAAACCATTGCTAATATTCACAAACATAATCCTGCAAACAGCGAGGCAACCACACCTGGCATGAGCGCAGCCGTGGGGAACATTTCCTTTAACTTCGTTTGGCTTTCTTCCACCAGCTCCTCTTTGGACATCGGGAGCTGCAAGACGTCTATTATAATCTGTGCCGCCTCTAATGCCTTCTTACCCATAACCAGGGACTTTACATCCCAGCTGTATTTCTTGTCATAGCGATCACATATTTCTTGAAACACCACTGAATACAGTCGTTCAGTATCTGCAGGAAAAAAAAAGACAGAGATTTTTAGAGTGCATACTGTATCAACAGTAAGTTTGTATTAGGTCAGCATAAACATACACTGTGTAGGTCGCATTCCATCAACAAAGGCTTTTGTGGAGACCTAAGTGAACAGGAGAAAGGTTTGCAGGTCATTCTCACTAAATTATACTGTGGGCAGCCTCCTCTCAAGGCTGCTGGAGTTATGCCTGGAGTTGTGATTTGGAAACTTAGAACTCAGGAGAGAAATGAAATCTGTATGATTGTGTTTTCTGTTTAAATGTACATATTTGAATGTAAATATATCCTTGGAATGGTCAATTCCATCCAATAGCACAACGCATCATTACTTGGTGTTCCCAACAACATGGAAGCCAGCTCCAGTTGACAAAGTCCACTGCATGGCCCACTAGTGTTAACGACATTTCCACTGCCCAGTGGGATGAATCCCCACCATGCCTGGCCAGGATGCTGCTGTGAAGCTCCCAGGTGAGAACAGAACATTTAATACATAGGCTGTGTCACAGGATGGTGAAAGCTGACCTCAGAATTAACTCCCGGCTTGGCATTTACTCGGAGCACAGCCTCAGAAACATAGGGGGCCTGCAGGTGCCCGCTTTCCTCATGCTTACACAAGGTGAACAGGAATACTGCTAATAATAGTACCAGTACCACTACCATAGGCTACATTATACTACCTACAATATAATAACTAGTACTAGCTCACACCCATTTCTATTCATGTGTTTTTTCTGTATGTATATTTAATATACACATAACATCAATTGCACTCATATTACCTATAAGAATACTACTGAGGATGCTACTACAGCGAAATAATCCTACTTTACAGAATGAATACTTCACGGCACATAAGTAACATTCTAGTGCCAGCCTCCTAGTGCACGCTTCTTACACACTAGCTGTCTTCCCCACTCTTACTGTCTCCAGTGTGGGCCTAGAAAGATTACTTTACTGAAGAACCAACTAACTGACCTGCTAGGAGGCATTATTCACGAAAAAAGAAAATGCTTCAACACAGAGGAACGCCTACCAAGTAGAATTTCAAAACCAGTTAAGCTCCATGGAGCTGAATGTTGCCTGGTGACAATCCCCCCAAGGCTCCAGTGAAGGCAGAAGGTTGTTCCGAGGCCTGGGCAGAGCCCTTGTCTTCCAGTCTGCAGTGGCACAGAGGCAGTGCCTGAACCCGAGAGGCTGGGAATAGCCCTGTTCACACCTGATTTAAAAAGAAGACACACGGACGCATCTGAAAAAAATCTGGATTCAAATTCAGTTAGGAGACTGACCACCTGTTCTAGATTGAGCACTGAAGCCTTCCCACGGGGCATGGAGCAGCATTAGCAGGATGTAGTCGACCCTGAATATGTACAGCTGGACCCAACAATAAGTTCTGAAAAGAGCAGGTGATCTCAATGGCCTTTAACGGTCCCACAATGACATGAAAAAATATAATAATCATCCCTAAATACTACTTTTTTCCCCTGTAAGATAGTATCTGGGAGACCCAGAACACACTGAGGGAAGTACTGTGTACGCACAGAGAAGGCTGTGTGTATCGAAGAGGCATGTAAGTCTTCATACTCCTACGTATGTTCACATGCTTACATGCACATACGCATGCATGCTTGTCTGTAATTGCCTCGATGCATTTTGAAAGTTGGCAGGGTATGAACTGCGATTAAAAGAGAGTTAAGGGCCGGGCATGGTGGCTCACGCCTGTAATCCCAGTACTTTGGGAGGCCAAGGCAGGAGGACTGCCTGAGCTCAGTAGTTCAAGACCAGCCTGGGCAACACGGCAAAACCCCGTCTGTATTTAAAATTCAAAAAACTAGCTGGGCGTGGTGGCACGTGCCTGTAATCTCAGCTACTCAGGAGGCTGGGGCAGGAGAATCGCTTGAACCCGAGAGGCGGAGGTTGCAGTGAGCCAAGATCGTGCCATTGCACTCTAGCCTGGGCAACAAGAGTGAAATTATGTCTTCAAAAAAAAAAAGAGTTATGGCAGGTTTTAACTCCAAAATATCTGCTCCTCCCAGACAGACATGCAGAGGGCTGCCTGCACCACAGGGCGGGATTCACTGTGTCACACATGGAAGAGGCCGGCAAGGTCTCTTGTGAGCCGCTGCAATGGTAGGGCCATCTGTGCTTTGTCTCCTGCATCTTTCTCACAGAAGGTGAACGGTCATCTGTGTAGACACAAGGCCTGGGCAGTCAACCACATCCACTACCTATATGCAAAATTCCTGAATGAACCAAGGGCAGAGTGCTGCTGTCTTGAGAAAAAAAGTTTTCTGTATGGCCCTGTACCCTGTCCCTTCAGTTGCATCCAAACTGCATCTCTTGATTGCACCTGCAGTATCGGCTAGGGCTCTTGTCACCTTGTACTCAGAGGACTGGGCTCATTGATTGCTTTGGCTGCCACGATGTGGACTTCGCCTCTGTGCACGCTTCTCTCCCGGTCCCAGTACTTGCCTGGGGAACTCTCTGGCTCTTCCTCCTGGGATGGGGCTGAGGCTGGGCCCAGTCCGCCCTGTGGACACTGGGGACCAGGAGAGGCTGGTTGTTGTGGACTGGGCTCTTCCTTGAGCTTTTGGGTGGCCCCTGCCCTGCACTCCCCATCTTCCTTCCTCCCCCTGTGCAATGACCCCCTCTGTGGCCCTCTTCCCTGCAGCAGACCCTGGGTTGTCTGCCTCCTGATGTATGCTCTGGCTTTGACTGCTACCAGCAACAAGAAGAGCCCTCCTCTGTTCTTTCTCTGCTTTTCTTGGCAAATCCACCCACAGCTGCATCTGCAGGTGCCATTTCATTTTCAGCACTATAATATTTTTCTCCTTTTCCACCACAAGCTGTATTTTTATTTATTTATTTTTTGTTTGTAGACATGGGGGGGGCCTTGCCTTGTGGCCCAGGCTGGTCTCAAACTCGTGGCCTCAAGTGATTCTCCAGCCTCGGTCTCCCAGTGTTGGGATTATGGCATGAGCCACTGCACCTGGCCACAAGCTGTATTTTATTAAGTTTGCTGTAAAACATACCAAACAAACCTCAGAACCTCCACCCTTCAGGATACTGGAGATTGTGAAGGCCCGATCCCTGAATGGAGGGGTCAAAGCCCTTTAGGGGAGTACAAAAGACAGGACTCTCAGAAAAGTTCCTGGGCTGGTTTGTAGAAGTCGAAGTTCAAGTAACAACCTGAGTAACTCAAGGCTTCCTGGATCCCATCCTGCACTCAGTCTACCTACAGAAGCCGCAGAACAGAAGGAAGGGCTGGCCCACCCTCCTTCTCAACAGCTGAGCAGTGAAAAGCCTCCTCTAAGGGAGGGTTACCCAGGCATGAGTGCTCCTTTTATTGTCTTCTTCTCTGTGAGGGGGAGAAAGAGCCAGGGCTCTCAGGGCAAGGAGGTGGAAGGACTGGCAGTGAGGCGGCACATTTTACTTCCTTGAGTGTTTGTTCTGGTAGTTGAGAGAGGAAGACTGACAAAAGGAAACCGCAGGCATCGAACAAGTGAGACACCACTGTCGGGTGTGAAAAGCCAAGCGAAGGAACAGAGGCCAGGCAGGACGAAGGAGGTGCTCCACGGAACCGTGGCTAAGGCGAGTGTGCGAGCAGGAAGAAAGGAGTGTGGACAAAGGCAGAAAAACAGCTGTATCCTCTAAAAATGCTTTCAACAGTGTTTGTTTAAAGCTTAAAATGTCATGGAGCTTTTAATTTAAAAGATACAGAACTGTAGGATGATAAATCTGTAGGGGACGGTGCAGACAGACACTTTTCCTCACCATTTAGATAAAATCATCCTCAAACCGTGGAATAAGAAAGGATCTAAACAAGTAATTAAACTCCTTAGATCAAATGATGACTACAGCCGTTGCTGATGGCATAATTAAAGGGACAGCGTTGTGAACGAAAAAATGCTGAAATAAGATAAAGGAGCATAAAACACTTGCATCAGGCCATCAGATGCATCTTCTTCCCTGCGTACTAACAAGCTTGCAGCTTTTAACATTGTTTCAGTGTCCTTTTTACCAGGAAAGGTCATGTTGTTTTTAACATGCTAGGGCCACATACACTACTACCTTCCTTAGGTGAATTAGAAAATATCCCTTGTGACTGTGACCACTCCCCTCCCCTCAGCTGGAATCTCTCTGGCATGTTGAGAGCAGCTTCTATAGTAGCTGCAAGGGCAGCATGGGGAGGGGGACAGCCTGGCAGGAAAGTGGAAGCTCTGAAGAAGCTACAGGGTGCCCCAGGGTGGGGCCCAAAGACTGACGGGTGTTTTCATCCTCAGAGGCAGCCTGAGTTCCCGGTGGCTCATGGAAGGCATTGCGGCTTAAATTAATTCAACTGTTACAGAAGCCCTGCGCCTGGAGGAAGCCTAGGCCCGTGGCCTGTAAGTTTCTGTCTAAGGTGGAGAGTAGGTAATTGCTGCAAATCAAGTAACATATTTTATAACTGAAAATGTATCTTAAATGCTCACTAAGTCCACCCCTGAGGCACAGTGGTCGATGTTTTACCCAACAAAGATATAAAAAGCAAGGGTTTCTCCCCAGCTGCTCTCTCAGGAAGCTGTACCTGCTCACCATGCAAATGGAGACCTATCTTCAATTTTATAACTGTGAGTTGCATTATCTAAGGGCAAAACACCTTGAGCCAACTGTCATTAAGGCACATATACAGTGATACGGTTTGGCTGTGTCCCCACCTAAATCTCATCTTTGTTACGCGCATCCCTGTGAAGAGACCACCAAACAGGCTTTGTGTGAGCAATAAAGCTTTTTAATCACCTGGGTGCAAGCAGACTGAGTCCGAAAAAGGAGTCAGCAAAGGGAGATAAGGGTGGGGCAGTTTTATAGGATTTAGGTAGGTAGTGGAAAATTACAGTTAAAGGGGGTTTTTCTCTTGCGGGCAGGGGTCACAAGGTGCTCAGTGGGGAGCTCCTGAGACTCATTGTCCAGGAGAAGGAATGTCACAAGGTCAATTGATCAGT